TTTAAGTAAAAATCACCCTCTTGTAGGTTACAAAATCATTAACCATGCTAGTAGACACATACGTAACATAAATGAACTAACTGAACTGTCTACCATTCGCTTACATATGATCATGGATTAGATAGTGTCCTCCTAATTTAAATCGTAACTAACGTGAGAACGATCAAATTAAAAAAAGAGAGGTAGTTTTAAATCTAAAAATAGAAACCTTTTAAGTTTTTTTATCATTGGCAATCAATGACATTTACGTTCAATTCTCTTATGTATGTATACATTTTTTTTCACTGATACAGCTAGCAACAGGCAAAAGGCAAAACTATCCTATAGATATTTACATAATAACGTATTGAAATTTCAAAAAAGGAGGTTGAAACTAATTTAAAAGAAAGAATTTTTCTCTACCTCTTTTTAAAAAATTTTAATATGCACAGCAAGGGAAATAACAATCTAAGTACTTTTACAGATAACTAACAAAAAATCTATATTTGATAACCTTCATGATATAACTGCTAACCACTTGATATGTTATGGAGAATATTTGATATAAAGAATAATTTGACAAGTGCTTTACTATTTTAAATAACATTAAACCTTTCGGATCTTATAAAGGTGGTTTTATTTACTACAATTAAGGTTTTATAATTTACAAATGATTTTGTATCTACACTTATTACTACTACTATTATCATTGTTAATAGTAGTACTGGTAGTAATTTTCGTAATTTCATCTTTCACTATTATTCTAAACATTTGTTTGCTTTTTATTTGACCCGTAGTCAGAACCAGCGGTCTAATGTACGAACTCATGATCGTGATTTAATCTATGAAAATTTAACGATCTCTAAAGAAAGCCGTATTTCGTAATTAGTAATTATCAATGTGCTTATTTACTGACGATTTTGAAACAGTTGCTTGCTCGGTTTTTGTGTCACACGGTAAAGTCACTATCATCTTAATCCTTTGTTTTAGTAAACTACGGTGAATTACAACTTTTGAGAATGATGTGATTTTTGATATTAGATACAAAATTGGATTAAACAACTACTGTATTGTGTAATGTAAATAGTATATTTTAAACCTAATAACAATGTGATATCACTGATAGATGGATTAGTGCTTTTTATTTTGAAAAAATCCAAATTTTCTTATTCATTTGAGCCTTATACTCGATGAACAATGAAATCTGTTTGTATAGTATGAGCCAAATGTTAAACTAGATTTTCTTCTTAAGTTATTAACTACTTCATAACAACGATGATATATGAGTAGAGAGTCTCTCACTTGTTTTGTTTGAAGTATTATTTAACTGTATTTTATGACATCTGACAAATCATTTCTTACATCGGTTATGTATTTTATATACATCAAACAAGAAAAACCAATTTTCATTTCAATTTAGCTATGAAGAAGTGTATTCATATTCTATATGGATAAGGTATAAAAAACGGATTCTTGGTGAATGGTATGCCACTTTAAACCATTTATCTACTAACCTTCAAACATTTAATAAACTTATTATTATTATGCAGCTGTGTGGAATAGCCACTGTTGAATGGACAGACGTGAAGAATCTTTAGTGAATTCAGTGGTCATTATAGTGAACCAACTAATTATGTATAATATATTACATTATTGAAATTTGTTTAATGTTTATTGTTCCATTGGTAAACAAATAATCAAAGCGAAATCATTTAATAATCATGAAAAACTAGTCAAAGTGGCATTTCCATCGTTTAGGGTTACTTAGTATAAACTATTCAATAATTCACATAATACCAACCAATCTCAATTTAATTTGTAATGCAGATGTCAATGTCAAGGTTCGACTTGATAATTGGGTACACAGTTAATAATAAATATATTTTCGTTATATCTCGATGAGTAGAAAAAAACTATATTTCTGACGTTTCGTTGCTTAATGTAGGCCGCTTCTTTAGAGTAAATGAATAACCGAACTAGGTTATTTAGTTTCTACTCATTAGCATAAAGCAAAATTGAATTTTGATTATCCCGTTTTTGATATTCTGACTGAGATTAGATCAGTCTTATTTGATTTATGTTCATCCCCTGCAGATTATCTCATTATAGCTATTTTGCATACAGTCACATCCGATTGACGAGTAACAAATAGGTATAAGTGAGTACTCTATACTCTACTCGTTTTACACCTATCGTGTATAAACTAACCAACTTCGTTTTCTTCTCTTATTGCACTACACACACGACTTTCAGTGTATAACAAGTAATAGTTTCATCTATGACTGTAGTCTTTCAACATTATATATGTCCTAAACATTTCAACCATCTCTTGTAGTTATCTATGAACATTACTCCATATGGAAAATAGCCTATTTGATAATGGTTTATTATTATTTTTTTTTATGTTTCGGTTCACAATTCATTTTCTACAACTGTAAAATAGTTCGTCACGACTAGTGGATATGAAAACAAAGGCGAAATAAAAATTTACGCTATCATATCACCTAGGATACAGGCTATAAATCTACCAACTTAACAAAACGAGTGTATTCTTTTCAAAAGTTTCTTTTGTTTTTTATGTCAAGATGATACAAAATAAATTATTCATTAATAAATATTGAACCGTGTAATACTTCATACCTGAGTATTATTTTCTTTTAATCCATATGTTCAAGCTTTAGTTTTGTATTCATCACTGTATATATTTCCAGTGTTTTAGGCATAATTCTGATAAACAGAAATTATCTATAAGCAAAGATGAACAGTGGCTAGCAGTGGAATCCAGGACTCTCGTTTCGTTCGATTTGGGACTCGTCAGCTGGATGTACCTGCATCTCAGAATTGATGTTCACTCTGGGAAGATTCAAGTAAAACAATACTAAGTGAATTAGAAACTATATATGACTAAAAAAGATAAATTCAGTTTGAGTCAGAGAAGTTAGTCATAATCCACTTCAATTTCAGTTGTAAAAAATAACCTAATTTACATCTCTGCTATAAAATAGAAATAAGATGTAAGTCATTATGAATTTGCCTACATCTACGAACAATGATTTTAATAGCTCAGCTAATGTTTATGTTCACAATAAACTATTATAGAGTAAAACCTGCTATTTATAAGAAGCTAGAAAAGTCAAATAAGTATCATATTTTATCGGTAATAATTAATTGGAAAAGTTCAAATAGCTAAATTCATAGACAAAAAGACTATAACATGTACTTACTAACTTACGCCAGTTACTCCTAATGGAGCATAGGCGGACGACCAGAATTCTCCAACCCACTCTGTCCTAGGCCTTCTTTTCTAGTTCTATCCAATTTTTGTTAATTCTTCTCATGTCTGTTTCTATTTCTCGGAGTAATATGTTCTTTGGTCTTCCTCTCCTCCTTTGGCCTTGAGAAATCCAAGTGAGGGCTTGCCTTGTGATGCAGTTGGGTGTTTTCCTCAATGTGTGTCCTATCCACTTCCATCGCTTTTTCCTGATTTCTTCCTCCGCTGGAATCTGATTTGTTCTCTCCCACCATAATATGTGATACATCGTAAACCTCAATATGTGCTTAAGTCAGACATTATTAATATAAATCTGGCCAACAAATTTGTTATTGATAAAATACAGTTAATGAATGTGAAAAAATGTTGAATTAGTCAAACAATATCTTACAACTAAGGTAATATACAAATACCACAAACCATCTATTGATTTTATGCATACACAGAAAATATACAAATTAATTTCACTACAAAAAATGCTTTCAATTTTTATATTTTCCCTGTACATAACAAATTCCATACCAAACTTATAATAAAAGTGTTATTATTATGAAACGAAAATTCCATTTTCATGACAAATCAGTATTTTATTATCAGAATGGAATTTGTAGTGATTGTAGTAATTTTCATAATTGAATTCATGAGTTGATATAAGCTAGATGGTCGTTTCGTCCTACTACGGGATCAGTGATGCGCACTGCTGAAGAGTCCCATACTAGGACGAAACGATCATCCAGTTCGTTCAGGTTTCAATGGTGTTCTAGCTTATATCGACTCATGAATTCAACTAATAAAATCAAAATTTATCACTTAAGATTGATTTTTTTTTCAAAATGGATTGAAAAACGTAATCATACACATGATATATTAGACCAAAATGTCATTACACATGAAGTGTTCTTTTTGAACTACACAGTTTATAGTTATGCACTTTTGACTAAATACATATCTTTATTATATCCCATAATTTTTTTTAAAACGTCTACACGTACAGGAAAATCAGTCTTTAAATGTTTTCTACGCTTATCTATTTGTATGAAAGGAGTTTGTGTATAAACGCGTGTATAAAAAAAGGATATTAAAATACAGTTACAGACAGACATATAGAAAGAAGAATAAAGCTTGTGTATCAGTACAAGATCCCACATATATTTAACGTCATTGCGTGAAAGTTAAACCAATGAAACGATATTATTACATAGTCTATTCAATAAATTTACACAAATTGAGGTCTTGTTATTCATTACTTTTATTCGAAAAAAAAAGTGATGGGAGACGTCAGATTTCGGTCACTCAAGATTTCTCCCGGTTCCACGTTTTATCATTCAAGTTGAGATTTATCATTTTTACTCAAGCTCCATTAACTTCATTTAAGTTTCTCTAGTATTGCACTAGAATAGATGATTTTCTTAAAAAACTTAGGTCACTGGTAAATATCTGGACAATGGATATTTGATGAGAAAGTTTCTTAGATGTCTTTCAAAACAGATGATTAACAATCGTATATAACTAACAAATATAATAATTCAGAATGCATATTCATTGTACAGATCATGCAAATAGTTGACAACGATTATAAAATGAGAACATAAAAAAATATGATATAAACAGTTTAATGGCCGTTTTCGTTCTCATCCAGGTTAATGATGCTTACACTTTACCATACATAACTCTATTTGATGATTGAGTCCAATGTACAATTTGCCATATATCTGACGTTTATTCATTACAGTGACTTTCTATCTTTAAGATCCTGTATTATTGCTTCTACAATAATGTTACAAAGAGTTGGATTTTAAAAAATAATTTGACCGATTATGTCATCGGTCAGAATATTACTCCTCCTCCTCCTCCTCCTCCTTCTCCTCCTCCTCCTCCTCCTCCTCCTCCTCCTCCTCCTCCTCCTACTACTACTACTACTACTACTACTACTACTACTACTACTACTACTACTACTACTACTACTACTACTACTACTACTACTAAAATGTAACACTTCGATATTTATAAATACTAAAGAGTAATTATACAACTTATGAATTTATCTTCGCCAAAAAATTAATTTCCATAAACTTAGCTCATGTAAATTCCAACAACTCTCATTTATTCTCAATCCAACAATTAAAATACTCGGAAATTGCAATTAGTTATCTCGTATACTATTTATATTATTTAACTTAAAAATCTCCCGTGATTTTCTAAAAACAAAATATAATACTAACAAAAACAATATATTTCATCATATACACAGTTGTTATTAAGTCATTTTGCGGGTATTGATTCATGTACTTGGCTATGAGCCATACTTTAAGTGTAAGAGATGAAGATATTAACCGTCTGCCTAAGCCAAAGTAGGTAGATCATACATAGTCTGTGGTATACAAGTGAGTAACAGATTTATGAACAATTTATTATAATAAATGAAAAGTCAATTTAAATCTAGCCATTAAAACAGCAGTTGGTTACCATCATTACTGTGATAAGAAGACTTCAAAATACGTAGTACTTTTTAACAAATGTTGGTTCGCTTGAAATGAAAATCCGAGATAACGTTTCTTACTAACCAGCTGTTGTCTTATTGGGTTGGCTATTTTTGTGATGCGCCTTAAAGTTATGTTCGTCGCTCTATCAACAATGTTGTTTTATAGAAGTTTTGGGCTATAGAGGGAATTTATAATCTTTCCTTGATGCTTTGTGTTATCACTCAGTTATTCATGTATGGGTTATCACCATCAATAACATATAGAGTACTAGTTATCTGTTCTATCTAATTCACACAGATCCCATTCTGTATAAGAAGGTTCCACCAATCATGAAATATTCGAAGTTGTCATAAGTATAATATATTATCAGGATAGTTATTCGTGTTCAGTTGTTCCTTGATACGGATTTTGGTTTTTCGCTTATATCTTTTCTTTTTACTTTCGCTATCATTAATATAACAATTAATATCGGGAAATCAAATTATCCACTTTACTAACATGACATGTCGAGAATACACCTGATTTACACAAAAGTCTGCAAACAGGTGGATATTGTCATTTATCGGTCAATAATTTATTGGGATTTTTTTATAATTGTATGAATTACGTAGTTTAATAAGGAACTGTCTGCAAGGAGAAATCAGAATCTAAATTTTTTGGTGGTACTTTGATACGATCTTGAGTCAATTGAATTACTTATTAGTGACATTTTACAACTGTTAATTAATGGTATTTGTTGCATTGGTTGGCATTTTTCCGTTACTGATTGTTCATATATACAAGTGAGTGGTGTTATTCGGCATATATGTATCCTGAGTCAACGTCAAGTTGAATAATAAATGTAATTCATACCCTCTATACATCTAAATATTTACTCAACTTGATAACTCAGTGGATAACGCATCATTATCTGATACAGAAATTACTATGTTAGAATCTCACTAGAATGAACGTGCATTCATCTTATCAGCCTTAAATAAACCAAACATTGCATCCCTGATTCCGGTGTTAGTTTTCATTCAACTTTAATAAAAACCTGTAGAATGACAACTATGGGATATATTTTAAAGGTTAAATGACTGTCATCGAAAACCTGGAAACATTATATAATGTCTTCGTTTTAGTGTGAGACTCTTGAATAGTGCTTATCCACTACTCCACATTTAAGAATTAAAATCCGAACCTCTGGTTCAGTGCACAAGTGCTTAACCTTCAGATCACTGACCCGAAATCCATTGGTTTGAATCTGTTACTTCAACTTATTCAGATACCCTCTCCTTTCCCTGTGATATATAATTGTTTAACACTCGACACTGGTTGAACTCCATTTGTTATGGTTTCTCGTTTGAATCACGGGAGTACATCTTGAATATAATCACTGGTGAGGATATTATTATTTTTATAGATATTATTATTAATATTGTTATTATTATTATTGGCATACGAGACTTGTGGAGGTTTTGGAATTGTCAAAGTGCTTTTAGATTATCAATGATGAGTTAGCTAAAAACTAAGACTTTGAAAATTCTACAATCTCTACAAATCCCCCTTACTAATAAGTAATAAATGTATATCTTTTGTTCTTCAGTTCAATTTCTTAGATTATATTAAACGTGTGATGTAAAATATTCACCTTTTTTGTTCTCGAAATAAACAGAAAGATATCCCATTGACTTAACTGTTTATACCATCTGAACTAATAATATCTCACTATGTTATTTGATGTTAAGTGTTGATCACAGAAATAATTGTTTATTTTAATCATTCATATAAACATTAGTTTCTTGATAAACATTTTATCCTTCCTAGAATTTTTGTCCTTTTTTAAAAAACACACTTATAAGAACACTAGATATATTAACTTAATAAAAACACTAATGTTATACCAGTTTCATGATAATTCAATCTTAACAACCGATGCATTATGAAGCCCTATAGTTGTTAAATCAGGACAGCTGACCATTTAAAGTAAATAAGTATTTCATGAATTTATTACATAACGAACCGAAAACTCTTTCATGAAACAGTTAGTTTATAGAAATAATCATCAAGATTAATGAATGTAATTCTTCGACAAATAGAATTAGCAGAAATAAATAGACCAATAAACTAGTTATTCATAAAAAAACATCTGTAAATATTGAACAAAAACCATAACACTAATGGTGAACAAATATTTTTACTTATTTACTGCTATCCACCATAATCTGATATACTTATTCATAATAAAGACACCGATAGGGATATGTACACTTATGTTAATATGTCATGTAAGTCTAGGTGATTTGTTTAAATGAAAGTCGAGATATAATTGAGATAAAACAAGCAAGTATAGACTTTGATGTTAAGAAGTATCAAACTATCTAAACCAGTACCATACATACCTCTATAGTTGAACAGATTAAGATTAAGGATTATTTATCAATAAACAAGGTATCAATTTTTCATATGATCTTCGAGTTGTCAACATTTTTCAACTCAACACATGTATGAACAAACAACAATATTCTTGTTGTTCCATTGTACTATTTAGACTTGGATTAATTTTGATTTGGTTGTTTATATATTCTTTGACGAAGTGACTTATACCAAGTCACGAAACGTCAGAAAATCTTATTTCTCTACTCATTGGGATATTACAAATATATTAATTTAATTATAATAATCTACTCAATGCTCAATTTATTCGAAATTATCAAGTCAAACCTTGGTAATGATACCAACAATACAGTAATATATTATTGATTAGATCACTATAACTACTAAATATGTTTATGGTGAATGTTTAAAAATGAAAAATTTAGTTTTTTTTTGTTTTTCGTAAACTTTGTATAAAATACTTACCAGAACATTTCTTGCTCCAAATTAGTATTTTGCCGATAATGTAAAATATTTTGATTTTTCCTCTATACATAAACACACAAATTTAACAGATTTCTATTGTTAATAGTTGAGATCATGAGTCAATTGAAGTTAGACCATTATGGAAAACCTGGAATCACTGGACGGCTGTTTTGTTCTATTATGGGATTCCTCAAATTCCAGTTACTGAATTAAACTCACATGGGTATGAGTAAAACTTATAAGCATGTGGCAAATGCTACTTATGTTTGTCGATATAAGTAGTATGTAACACGAATCAGAAGTGGAAAACCTGGCAGTGGAAGACTAAAAAGATCGAGTTGAATAGAATAAAAAGTAAAATAGAAAGGAGTTGTGAACCTGAAGAATCATACAGAATATGTAGGACAAATAATGGAAATTTACAAATAAAGTATTCAGTGCATGATTCATATATTTCATCAACATACTTTGTAATTTTGTAATTTTTAATAAACTGAAATTTTATTATTAAGTTCAAAGCTAAGATAATACTTCGATTATACTCGCATATTTTGACTTTCTAGATAAAATGATAACTGGCTAAATTAATTATATCGCTGAATTTGAATTTTTCGTCACAAAAAAATAAAAGTTAGTCATTTGAAAAAAAATTTATTACCGGAACTTAGTTTCATAAAATAATGATTTCTCGTCAATAATGTATAAATTAAAAAGCCATAAGTGTGACTCAGTTGTTATCGATTAAAAGATACATTCAGTAGAGTCCGATCCATGCCTCAGATAATGGATGTAGGGTTGCGCAAGATCATGGTTCGATTGAAGTTAAACATTAACGTTACTGGATGACGGCTTAATGGGCTAGAGGCTAAGCGTTCGCTCGCGAGACCGAAGGTCCTGAGTTCAGGTCCCGCGTACGATGTCATCAATGCTCACAACTGAGGAGTCCAGTACTAGAGTGAAACGGCCGTCCATTGCATCCAGGTTTTCAATAGTGGTCTAGCTTTCATCGACTCATGAGTTCAACTATTTTAAATCTAAGTAATTTGAAAATTTCCATTATTATATAAAATAACTTTTGTTGGCATCATTAAATACTTGTCATTTATATTTTATTATGAAGATGTACGGTGCAACTGTGGTTATTCTCAACATTTTCAGCATTCAAGTAAAGTGTTATAATTAGCGCTATGCTATTTTCCTGTTTATTTAATGGATGAGTGCTGCATATAACAGTACAATTTTCATTAGAGGTTTCATTTCATGATTTAACTTCCACTGTATTTATTATAATTGTTCATTAAGTTGAGAAGCGTTTCAATAAACGTCATACAGCAGACAGAATCAAATCTTTAGTAAACATCGCGCGATAATAAACAGCACACATTCAGCAAATGATCTGAAAGATACTCGTAAATGCTGGATATATAAAATTTCCTGAACATCGAAAATCGACGGACAAGCTTATATATCGAAAGAAACAACTAACGTCACTAATTTAGTCCTCAAATCCCAATCGATCTCCCGTTACAATACTGCCATATTTTAAACTTCAGAATATTTTTCATTCTTTTACCAATATCTCTCGACACATTCGACTGAGTTAAGATGTATGTTATTTCACCGGGTTGACTATATCGTTAATCCATCACTGGATGGCCGTTTCGTC